TGTCTCTGGTGAAGCCTCTCACCACCCCTGAGCCTCTGGACTGTACCCCAGTTCTGTATGCACAAATAAATATTTTAAAAATATATATATATAAATATAACCTGCTGTTTGGTGGTCCCTAGGCTACATGTGCATAAGTAATTTCAGTGATATAATTTTTCCATGTTCCCTCCCCGTATGACAATGAATGATAGAGTAGCCAATGAATGATAGAGTAGCTAATAATCCCTGAACCCAAACAGTAGATGCTGCTGGGCTAATCAGTCACCCTGTCTCCATTCACAGATCACTACTGGCAACTTCTTATCTATAGGGAGGAATAAAAATCTTCCATGGGACCTAGAATTGGGGAGGATTCATCCCAGGGTCAAAGCTATGTAGTAAGAACACAGTTCAAAGCAGAAGTAAGAGAGAAATAGGTTTGTTAGCTGCCAAAGGAATATTTTAAGATGTATTGATTTCTGCATAGAAGAACTAAGGTACAGGCCAGAGGTGTGGGGGGTTAAGAGGATTCAGAGACAGAGTGGGGAGCAGACCTACTGACATACACTGCTGAAGGGAGCTGGCGTGAGACAGGAAAGGTCTGCTGTGCTTGTGGGACACCTCCCTGATGGAGGAATCAAACTCATGTTGCAGTGGCTGCAAAGGGCCCCACAGTGGTGAAACTCAGCACCTATGCCACCAGGGAGGCCCACCAAAGGGGTATTTGTGTAGTTTGAGCTATCCAGTATCACCCGCACAGAATTCTGCATTGTTATATTTACAATTTTATTTCTCTTTGTAGTTAGACGTGTTTTAGGTGTTTATATACTTGATAGCTTTGCTTCATTTAGGTAATGTTCATTTACAATGCCACATGTTTTGTGAGTACAGTTCCACACATCTTCAGATGTATGGTAATACCATACCACACCCACCACAGGACACCAGTTGCCTTGACCATGGTTATTTCTGATTTTACCATCTGCACAAAAATGTAATTTATACAATAAGCTATACAGCTTAAAAGCTTTGACTTAAGGCCCTCCCTGGTGGCGCAGCGGGTTAAAGCACAGCACTAAGAAGTCAAAGCCACTTC